TACATACATACATACATACATACATACATACATACATACATACATACATACATACATACATACATACATACATACATACATACATACATACATACATACATACATACATACATACATAAATGATTTCAAAAGGATGTCATTCCCAGATTATTTTATGGTGGCCTTCGTTGCTTTTATGGTCAAATTAAAACTCCGAATTTATAATTAATGATTAATATGGAAATAATAATAATAATAATAATAATAATAAATTGAAATAAGAATAATTTTTGTGAAATATTTGACCGCAGTGCTATGAGTGAGTAATAGTACATATTTTCTATTACTAATAGAATATTTCATTGTGACAATTTTTTGTGCTGCTACTACTACTACTGCTGCTGCTACTACTACTACTACTACTTCTACAACTACAATATAATATTAATAATAATAATAACAATAATAATATAATCTATAATAATAAATAATATTAATCTCTCATCACGTAAAGACGTAAGCAGACTTAACAAATTACCTCGGCTTTGCTGTTATTATTTCTATTTTTCTCAAAAGCTCTCCTCACGTAATTAACTCGCCCATCCCTACTTAATCACGGTGACGTCATAGCTCGTTAATATCGAACTAATCTCACGTGCATTCGCTGCTTAATGTACTATTAACATCAAGCCGATCTGTGGCGTAACGTACGTATGATAACATTAATTAATTAGATAACATCAATCTAATTAAGCATGTACACAGTATTAATATCAAACTAATTTCAAGTAACTTAGCTAAAAGGTTCCTAGGTGCAATAGAGTGAGAAGTGATGATGACGACGATGATGACGAATTACTTCGTAGAGATGACAGGCTGGACTTTTAATGGTACTTGATTAGGTTCCTTACGATAAGCATTTCAAATTTACATCCTTTTAAACAAGTAAAATAATAATAATTATGATAATAATATTAATTATTATTCTAATAATAATGATAGTAATATAATAATAATTACAGGTAAAACCATTTGGTTCCTTTATATTTAATAGAACAGCAGCAGCAAATTTATCGATGAAGAAAACACTTTTTCAAAAAAGTTTGATGTTATTTGATGTAAAAAAAAAAAGGTGCTAAAATGGTTATCGAAGTTAATATAAAATAAAATTTACGAAGATCCTTGTTTTTAAGTGTTAAACGTGGTTTTAAATCTGTGATACGGTTAGTTTAGATTGATGTTTGTTCGACTTTCAGAGCTTTTTTTTTTCATCTAACTTGCTTTCAAACCTCAAAACGGCAAATGCATCAGCTGTTATTAGCTGCTTTTTAAAGTCGCATTCATCTAGTTATCATTCATTATATCATCATTATATCATCATTGTATCACCATCATTATCATCGTATTTCAAACGAAGACGATGATAATGATGGTGGTAGCTAGTGACGTATTGGTGACGTAATAGGGTAACGTGATGATGGCGATGAACTTTTTTTACTAAAATTAGCTTCTAACAGCTGTCGTTGACTGCCTATCTTCATCATTATCGGCCAGAAAATGATAACAATGATAATATTTATGAATGTACAGATTATATAATTATATATAATCTATATATTACAGATTATATAATTATATTATTATATAACCCGATATAACTATATATAACTCTATAATATTACTACTAATGCTACGACTACTACTACTACTACTACCATTACTACACCTACTAGTACTACTACTGCTACTACTACAACTACTAGTACTACTACTGCTACTACTACTGCTACAACTACAACAACAACAACTACTACTACTACTACTACTACTACTACTACTACTACTACTACTACTACTACTAGTTATGATAATAGTGCTTCCAAACTGATAAAAAGTGAGGTCAATAATCTATGTAAATATTGACTTAAATGTACCATTCATTGCCAATACATGTATGTAGGTACATATGTTTGTTTGTATGTTTGTTTACATGTACGTATGTATGTGTGTATGTATGTGTATATAATATGAATGTAGGTACTGTGTTTGTTTGTATGTATGTGCGTGTATACAACTTTATATAACCCGATATAACTATGTATAACTCTATATAACATTATATAACTCTAGTTGGGGTTTTGTAGATTTATATAGTGTTATATAGAGTTATATAGAGCTTCATATAGTTTTATATTGTTATATAGAGTTATATAAATTTATATAAAGTTATATATAGTTATATAGGGCAATATAAAGTTGTATAGAACTTTAAAGTGTTATGTAGACTAAAATAGATATATATAAGTGTGTTTGAATGTGTGTGTGGTATTTGTGTGTGCGAATGCTATAAAGGTCAAGAAATTATTTTTAAATTGTTGACGTGTAATTCAAAACTTAGATCTACTTTTAAACATATTTTGTGGACGTTGCCATCCTCTTAAATTAATCTTGATCGCAAAAGTTTTATTTCAACTCCACGAAGGATATCTCGCGACGATTAATTTTAAAATAAGATTAAAAATTAAATTTAAAATTAAATTATATAGAAATTAAAAAATGTCAAGCCACCCGGACGACGAATACGAGAGTTACAACTACGAGCATGACAAGCATATGAGTTCAGGCAAGAGTGGCAAAGGAAGGACCAAAAAAGAAGCCGAAATGAACACTAACAGGCCAGATCCCGGAGGTCACACACGGAAAACCGTGACCAAACTAATGAATAGTCACCATAACGAGTCCCAGTCGGCCAGCGCTCCGAAAAGTCACTCGAATCCACCACAGCAGCAACAATCTGCTGACAACAAAGAATTGTCATAAAGTTGCTAAACAAACGCTAATAATCACTAATCCTTTTGTATTCCTGCTGGTTTTTGTTGTGGAATATTAAGTTTTTGAGAATGTTATTAGCATACAAATACATATTTACGCGTTACTTATATATATACAAATACAATTGTTAACTATCAATTTTATTAATGGATACTATGTATAATCCCATCCATTCAAGTTTTTAATTCAGTGTGTTTGTCTTATTTTATGATATTTAATTAATAATTCAATTTTATTGGTTTCCTTTTTTTGTTTCTTTTGTTAACTTGTTTTGGTGGCTTGAAATTATGAATAAATAATTGAATAAAAACTATACAACATGTGTACATCCCAATTAATATATCCTATGTATTTGCTGATAGTTATCTATTCTCCTCACCTCGTATAATTATAAGTGCAATCCTATCTGCCACGCTCATTCTATTCAACTGATGATATATACATATAAATTTACATTACAAATATCATACATAAATAAATATATGTTGGTAATAGACCATAATTTTTACAATATTTAATTTACAGAATATTGTAGAAAATAAATTTATATGTATTTATATATATATTATAACAAAAGTGTTTAACCAGCTTTCTTGTTTTTCATTAATAATTTTACGATGTACAACGTAGCATGTAGTTTTTTTTACGACAAAACCATCCAATCCACAGCAAGCACTGACCTCTCCCATTCCATACAATAATAATTATGTATAATTAATTATAATTTATGAAACTTTTTCACAGGGCGTATCGATCACCATGCTATATTGTCTCAAACAGAAATACAGAAATTAAAAGAAACATGGGTGAACAAATAAATGTGTGCATGTAACTGCTTCCTACGTAAATCATGCAGTCATTAATTAATTAATTAATTAATTTAATCAATTCTTTCTTTCTTTATGTCCTGTCATGTATACATATGACCACTAGTTACTTCATTACTACCACAAAACCGTCAATCACTTATTGCCCCATTGTGGATAATTATAGGCCCAGCCAGATTTATTGCTGGGTGGTGGAGGGGGGTTATTTGGGAAGCCCCCGAAACCTGGAAAGCCAAAATTAGGAGGGAAGCCAGCAGCTCCGTAATTGTACTGATTGTTGTAACCGTAGTTGTTGTCGTATGGGTAATATTGCTGCTGCTGTTGTTGGTCGAGATGTTGTTGGTGGTAAGGTGGTTGTTGTTGTTGAGTTTGGAATGGAGTGGATGTGGAGGCCGATGGCTGGTTCGGATTGTTGACGGGTTGATTCGATTTAGTGATCCATCTGCTGTTGCTGCTGCTTGTCTGACTGCTACTGAAATAGAAAGAAATACACTTAGTGCATTTGACTTAAACAAATTCATTTGGACGAGTGCCCAGATGATAATTCATGAAAACTATAATGCGAATTCAACTTACATCTGCCAACTACTGCCGACTCCTTTGTTAGCATTCGCGTTCTCCAACTTCTGAAGAATGAAACAATGTAGGATGTGTCGTAAAACAAACGTGGTTATTTATACAGCAGAAAACGAGTGATTAAAATAGAGAAATTGAAGAGAAAATAAAGGAAAAACTGAAAATTGTCACCTTGGCTGGTGCATCCATTGGGGACATGACCTCAGCAGGGCCGAGATTCGAACTGCCACTCCCACCACCAGCAAACGAGTTCAAATTAGCGGAGGCATCTGGTTCGGACAAATCATTTTTAGGGCCTCTCCAACTCGGGCCCATCATACCCATTTCCCCCTGATCAGGAAGGGGTGCGTTACCAGAAAGAACCGCCTTCAGAGCGTCATATCCGCTGAGGTTCTTCATGAGGGAGCTCAAACTTGAAAGCTGTGGATTGTTGCTGTCCTGCTGGCGAGGAAGGCCCATGCTGTTCGTGATGCGTGCTATCTTCGCAGCTATCTCTTCCACGCGACTCGTGGCCTCCAACAATCTCGAACCCCCCCGCGGACGGTCCCTGTAGTCGTCGCGACGTGCTGGGGATGCTCTGCGCCTGTCATTCCATCTGTTTCGGTTGCTGATTTTTAGAAAACTTCTTAGAAACTATCGCTAAGCAAAAGTGCGATTTATGACAAGAAACAAGTAAACTTCTTTCACGCAGTAAATAAAAATTTACTAAACTGGCCGGACAAATGTGCGAGATGAAGAGGAGCTAGAGAGAGGGTAGCCCCACCTCATCCCAATGGTCCATTGTTTTTCAATGAACAACTCATGCACTGCCAGCCTGTCCTCATCAGTTGCCACAAAAAATTTGTGAAAAACAGAGACCTTCAAATGGATGCACACTTGAGACATGCGGCCTTCTATACATTAGAAGCACAACTACGTGGCGAGTCGGGCATAGGCTCATGTTTGAAAGTTCAAACAAACTCTTGCCAAGAATTCAGAAGATTAATTTGCAAATAATTATGAAAAAATAAATCATCTGTCAGTTTTTTACCAGCAAAGATGGTCGGTGTCAATTTAAAATGATCCTCATCTTCTTGCAGTAGGAACATCAGTAGTAGTCCTTGTCTCTTTCTCATCTCTTTGCATCTCAACAACCCACAATTGTACTTCTTAAAAAATGAACTATTTTAAATTTTTAAAAGTAATTGCAACGGTATTTTTTCATTTGGATGGAGAAGGAATTTCGCCTGCTCATTTGACTGCCCAGCTAAGATAATTTCATTTTGCCAGAGTCGTCTGATAAGACAGGCAGTCAGAATAGTAAAAAGATTAACGTATCATCGTCATTCGTTGCTTTCTGCGACTTTAGAATTATTAAAATCACATTTTTAGATGAATTCCGCGCGATGTTTGCTATATAAATGATTTTCTACAAACTACATATTCACCAAACAATGTACACCATACAGTTTGAAATCACAAAAATAGCTAGCTTAAGGCATCAAATTGTGAAATAATATACAACAAAGCAGCCTATTAAAAGAAATTTTCACTAGAAATGATTCAGCAAATATAAAAAATGAGTCATTTTAAGACGACAGCCATCCTCAATATTTCATAGCTGCTAGATAACACTGCTTCTAGGATGGGTTTGAAAGGACAGAACCTAAAATGCAAGGAGCGTCGCATGCCTACTTCATATTCTCAATATGAATAGGTGGCAATGGCAGGTTCAATCCTCTCACATTTTTACAGATACATCAAAAATAGTTTACAAAATCTGACTAAACTGAATACCTACGTTGAGTTTTTACAAAAACACACCGAATGAATTAACCTCTATATTCATTTGAAACAAAGAAAAGAAGATGTTTTTTAAACTTTAATGACAAACTTTTTTCTGGTATCATTGAATCTCCTGTTAGAACCGCCCCCACCACCACCAAATCCCCTTCTTTTTCCACCACCACCACCACCAACTCCGCCATTACTCCCCACACTCGACTCCTTCCAATTTCGATCCGTCCCAGCCTCGTTGTCGAAACCGGACACAGTTGACAACCAATTGTATTCTTTCGGGATGGACTCTCTAACTGACTGGATCCTCTTCAGATCTGAGAATGTGTGCAGTGGTAGACCCAGGCTGGCGCGTATTCGGTTGTCAGTCAGTATGAGGTTTCGACAGTTGCTTATGACCTGCCAGAGTGCAAACGGATACCAAGTAACAAATAAACAAAATCGTAAACAAACACAAACATACAATCAAACACACACACACACACACACGCACATACAATACAAAATCAACCAACCATGTTTATTTTATTAACTTGGTTGTCAGTGAAATTTTTACTGACAGAAAGATCTTTGAGGATAGTTTTCAGACCGCGAACCTGGCACATGATTCTGTACCTTCTCTTCATCTTCATCAGGCCTTCGATGGGGGAAATAAAGATCAAAGTTCAAACTAGGAAACAAAACAACAACAAACGAATGGCAGCAGTACAGCAGTACGACAAACAAACATGGAATAGCGTTGAAATCACCTTCTGGTAGATTAGGCTTCTGGTAGGGCAAGAGCCTTAACTTCAGCCCACCAATGATGAAGGGTACGGTTCGGTTTGCAGTAATTTTCATCAATCTCGTTCACCTCGGATCTCACTATCGAAGAACAAGAAACCCGTCCTTACTAGTCTGTTCTTCTCAACAGATTTTCTGAAATGTGAATTTTCATTTTAAAAATTTACTAGATTCTATTTTTTAGTGGAGAACAGAAAATTTTTGCTGTGTGTGATTTTGTCCGATTTAACATACCAGTAAAAAAGTTTGGACAGAACAAACGGAATGAAGGAACAGAAACATACATCATGCACATACAAAAACACATACACGCACGCACACACACACACACACACACATTAACACACACATAAACACAGAGAGAGATAGACAGACAGGCGTACACATACAGACAAAGAAAATTGCAAACTTTTTATTATGTGCAATTATAACGTCCGAAGCGTTGGAGAATGAGCTCCTAATTTGTTCAGAGCCTAACTCTTCGGGGACATTTTTGATTGTGATTAGGTTTTTCAATGTGGTCGGGATCTGACAGAGAGCAGTCGAATTCATCTTCACCCAGTCCGCTATGAACTTCTCTGTAGTCGGGAAAAAAAATTCATTTTTAAAAATTTACACCGAATAAAACATAGATTCAACAAAAGTAAGAGGGACCAGCATACATAAAACAAATAAAACATCGATAATAACAAATAATAATAAATAACTAAAAAAATAAATGAATTAAAATAAATAAGAATTAAAATGATCAATACTTGCAGAGGCATCATGCATGTCGAATGCTTTAACAACGACCTCCTCGCGTATTGATTTCAACCCATCCACTGCCTCGCGTGCGTGGATTGTTGACTTGAATAAAATATCCACCAATCTGTATCAATATTGAAAGAACTTCACTGGTTAAAGATTGAGAAAAGAATAATCTGTGTATGTGTGTGTATAAGAAATTGTGTGTGTGTGTGTGTGGTATTTGTATGAAAATTTGTATGACAAATAATAATTAGGCCGTAAGCAACAAACATCACTTTTACCACCACATGTATGGTGTACACTGTACAAAATGTGTACTACACATGTCTGAATAGCATCTACTGATATCATCAAAAGATTTGTCAATATTAACAGCAATTATTGAAAAATTAAAAAAAGTGACTGACCCAACAAATGAAACTTCATTATCTTGCAGCGGTCTCCTACACAGGGTAAAGTTTGTCTGAAATGAGCAACTCCTCTCGATGCATTCTATGAAGATCGGGTGAGATAAATCTGACAGCCGGAGCGGATAAACTATGACCCGTCTCTGCCTAAAATGTTCCGTCAGATCTGTTCAGTTTAACAATGTTTGTCAGTAGTTGTAGGGATGTGCAAATTTTACATTTTAAAAGTTACAGGTAGGTTTGTTTTTTATGGATATTTGAAAAAGTTTATCCTATAAAAGTATTTGTTATAATGAATGACTATCAAATGACAAACAGCTTCTTTACTTAACTAAGATTGCTTAAGCAGAGTCAGTAAAAAATAGTTTGAATTATCAAACTTAAAATCATACTACTCAAACTACCTTCAATTAGTACAGCTTCCTTCGGCTGACAGAATCTTTCAACCTCGAGTTCGCTGGCATCCAAGCCATCATCCCCTTCCCACTGACTGGGCAGATCTTCAGGAGGATTCTCCTCGTCGTAATCGTCATCCTCTTCATCCTCGTATTTCACCTGATTTTTATTCAAATCCTGTGTTTCCGACGTTAATGAAGATGGAATTTTTTCCCCAAATTTGTTCCCATCATCTTCCTCGTTCCGCAAATCAACTGAGTCGACGACTCTCGCATCTTCTTCAGTATCATTTGCATCCTCACCGAAGTCAACAATGTCCGAATTAATCTCTTCACTCATTTATTAATTTTTACTTTCTGAATATGAACTTATTCGTCCAACTTTGACAACTTTTTCAAGCTTATCGTTAGGAAGATTAACCGAATTTTTAAAATTTAAAGCGATTGTTTACAAAGTGAGCGATAAAATGCTAACAATGAAAAATGAAATAACTTATTTTTTTAGATAGTTTCGATATCTATGGTTCTTATAATTACAGAGAGGAATCATTAATTTGGTTATAATTGAAGGTTTTAAAGCACAATATGTAACTATCTCATTTTTAATATTTTCAAATCTAATACGTGCTTATTCCAATTCATTCACAATTCCATTCATACATCCTACATTCAAGCATCCATTCATTCATTCACCAATCCATTCATTCATCCATCCATCCATCCATCCATCCATCCTTACATTCATCCATCCATCCAGCCATCCATCTATCCTTCCATCCATTCATCCATCCATCCATCCATTCATTCATCAATTCATTCATCCATCATTTCATTCGTTTATTCAAACTATTTTTCAATTTTAATGAAACACACATTAGCACTACAGTCTGAAATGTGACTTTTCGAAATAGTCTTCGCGTCTTTGTCTGTGTGTGCGTGTGTGTGTGTGTGTTTGTCGGTTCAGCACACACTGACAAACACACACTGACACACACACACACGCTCATCATCAGTATATGAATATGAATTATGAATAAAATTATCATATTTGATATAAATTGATCCTTAAAAAGTCATTAAACACTTGAAAACTCCTCATAAAATATTATATAGATGATCCATATCAACAGTTAACCATATTTTACATATGTGGTGTATGTTATATAGGGTATACATATTTATAAAAATTTTTTAATAACTATATATGTATATATATATATTATATTATATTTTATTATGTTATATTTTATATATATATATATATATATATATATGAATAAAGTTATTTAGACAGAAGCTGTGATATCATTATTATTATAGTTATTATTATTATTATTGCGCAGATTATTATCTCTTTTGTTGTTGTTAGAATGACACAGTGTATGCAAAAGTTAGCCGGATCTAACAAAATTGTATCGGTGGCTTCGGCTCGTTCTTTCAAATGCGGATTTCAAATTATTCTACATCTCTTTGTGTGTAGCTTCTCGACTCGACTCTGGTTGACGGTTCGTTTTGTATCATTTATAATATTTATTATTATTATTATTATATAATTATTACTATAATATAATAATTATTATTCATAATTGTCTATAATAACGAAAGAATTATGTTTGTACTTAGCTTAGCTGCGTCGGACTTATTTGAAAAACTATTCCGTGGGAGATATGGTTTGATATGGTATGGTTTTTTCAATTTGTCATGGTCATATCGTGTTTGTATTGTGTTTTTATATTATTTGTGTGTGTTTGTTTGTTTGTATGTATGCATATGTGTATGTATGTATGTATGTATGTATGAGTTTGTTTGTATCTTTGAAAAAGTATCATCTATTCAAACACGTGTGTCTGTGTTGAAGTTTCATGAGATGTTAATTTGGTGTTTCATATTTTATGTACATTACTATAGGTAAAATTTACACAAATACAAAATGCATATACAAAAGTATGTGAATGTGTGTATGTATGTGTGCTTAGCTGTGTATGTATGTTTGTATGTATGTATATATGTATGTATGTATGTAAATAGGTATATGTGTGTGTGTGTGTGCGCGCATGCATATTCATACATATGCATGTGATTAATGTGTATACTAGAGCTATACTTGCTTGTGTTTATTTGAATGGTAGGCCAGCAAGCTGAGGTTGTCATTCATTAGTATTCTATGTCACATGTGAGGTGAGTCGCTATTTGTATTTGCTGGGTTTAGTTTTGTATTCTTTGTATGTATGTATGTGTGTATGTATGTATGTATGTGTGTGTATTTATGTGTTTGTGTGTGTGTTGGAATTTGTGTGTGTGTGTTTGTGTGACAAATACATATTTGCTTGCTAGCTGAATAAGGTTGAATTGGGATTAGTGTATATATTATTCATGTGTGTGTGTGTGTGTGTGTGTGTGTGTGTGCGTGAATATAATGTATGTTTGTGTGCATGTGTACATAAACGTTCGTGTGAATTTGAACTGTAGAATAATGTAATAACAATGATAGCTAGCTAACTATCAGTCTCCCAAAAGCAGTAGCTGAGTTGGACGATTTGTTGGATTGTATTTACGTCTTTCTGCATGTATGTATGTATGTATGTATGTATGTATGTATGTATGCATGCATGCATGCATTGTATATAACGAAAGAACTCTGCTCACTGAAGCGTTAAGTTATTTCTACCTTCAAATGCGGACTTATATAGGTATATGTATATTATGTTATAATAATTTCCAGTATATATTTATTATGTTATAATAATCTCCAGTATATATTTATTATGTTATAATAATCTCCAGTATATATTTATTATGTTATAATAATTTCCATACATAATATATATAATTTATTATGCCATAATAATTTTTATATAATATATATACTTAATTATTTACAGCTTCGCCCATTTAAGCTGTCTGAACAGCAGCTAAACGATTTCTGGCGGGGCTCGAAGAAGATTGAAAATTCTTTTTAAATTCCGGTAAAATTTATTTGTCGCCGCTCTTCTTCCATATTTTTTGGTTAGTTTCTACTTATTATTGATTATTATTATTATTATTTGTAGTAGTGGTAATAGTAGTCGTTGTAGAAGTAGCGGTAGTAGTAGTAGTAGTAGTAATTGTAGTAGTAGTGATGAATTTTGATGAATTTTATACTGTAAGTTATTTTATTGAGTTTTTTCTGATGATCTTGATCTGGTTTTTGAGTTTTTTTGTAAAGAAAATTCTAGATTCAAATATCTTTTTCTTGTTTAATTCGACTTGAATCATTGAATTATTTTATTATTTAGAATGAAAAAAAGCTGATCCGATCATTATTTTCATTTATAGATTTAGACAATTGATTAAACTTCGCACACACCTTCGCATGTAATGAATGCCTACAGAATAAGAGTCATAATCGTACATATAATTCTAGTATACCAAGATCAGAATTTCCAAGAAACATACAGCACTCCTACCGCCTGAGCTATCCTGTCTTGAAGAGGAGGGAATGAGATGGGTTTCTCTGGATGGCTTCTGAGAATAAATTTTCCATTGGTGATTGTTTGTTTAGTCATGTTGCTGATGTTTTCAGCGGGGTTGCTGCCGTGTTTGAATCCGGTGGTGACGAAAACTAAAAACACGAAAATGTATTCATGACTAGATGAACACTCGTCTCTGGGGGAATTTTTTTATGCAGCACGCACACACAAAACCACACACACACATATATACTACACACATACATGCACATACACGATATGATACGATATATTTTACACACAAACACACACACACACACAGTGTTTTTTGCTAGTCATTCATTCATTTAAAATTCAATTTATTTCGTGTTATTTTTATTATTATTATTATTATTATTATTATGTTATTGTTGTTGTAGTTGTTAAAACATACATAAATAATTATAGTAATAATAATATTATTATTATTTTTTATTGATTAATATAAAGACAAATGCCAAAAAGAACATTGAACAACAGTTAAGTAGCATACTCTTCACAATAACTTATCATACAATGGACTTTAACATCGAATAAATGAATGAACATTATTATTATTAATATTAATAATATTATAGTTATTATTATTATTTTATTATAATATTAATTATTATTATTTTTATTATTGTTGTCTGTGCTTTGTACCCACTTCATTCACGAGGCTCTTGACAAGACGAGGACTGTCTTTCTCTCTCTCTTTCTCTCTCTTTCATTTGCTATCTTTCTCTCCTCTCTCTCTCTCTCCTTTTCATGAACGAGCGAAATAAAATGTTAAAAACATTTACAAAATCATCCGCAGTCTTCTGGATATTCCTGTACAAGCATACATACATACACACATACATACAACATACGTACATACAAACATACATACACACACATACATACACATTATTATCATTGTTATTAATATCATATACACATTTGTGTACACTGCTGTACGTGCACTTTGTACAGGAGTGTATGAACTTTGTACGTTTGTATCGGAAATGTGTGTGCGTATGTATGTATGTATGTGTATGTACTACTTATGTATGTATGACTTGCGTATTACTTATGTATATGTGTGTGTATGCATGTATGTATGTGTACGTATGTAGGTATGTATGTATGTCTATAATTATATCAATAATGATTAAACCAGGATCCAACTGCGGAGGAATTGTATAATATAAACATTATTCGTTTATATAGTAATGAATGTGTGTGTCTGTCTGTGTGTGTGTGTGTGCGTGTGCATGTATTGTGTGCACGCTACATTTTTTTAAATCATATTTTAAAAAATATTACTTCCAAAACATTATTTACAACGTCTGAAAAAAAATAACATTGAAATCTCTCATTCTCACTCTCTCTCTCTCTCTCTTTCTACCTTTCCTCTAACCCATTAAACAATTAAAAAAGCGTACTCTATCATCTTAATTTATGCATTCCTCTTATGAATATTATTGGCCTACGATTAAAAGATCTCATGAATATTAATGAGTGTAGGCCTAAGAAAAAATGTGCTTATGAGTGTGGGCTTATGAATATGTTAATTATTTTGTGTCTGTAGTAGAGCCCCAAGCGAAATGCCTGCCAGTGAATTAGCCGGTATAAAGGTTATGTTCGATTCCTACTAAATAAATTTCACCAAAACTAAATAAAGAAATAGATAGATAGGTATATGTAGTTTTAATACATATAGAATGTTGTATTTACACATTCAAATTGTACAATTGTGTTAAGGTGTAGTCTCAAATTATTTTGAATTCTCTCGGAAAAGTTTAAAACATTCACACGTACACACATGACAACATTCACACATACATACAGGACAACATTCACACATACACACATGATAACATTCACA